GCAATGGAGCTGGTGAGGGGTCTGGAGCACAAGTCTTATGAGGAGAGGCTGAGGGAGCTGGGGGTGTTCAGCCTGAAGAAGAGGAGGCTGAGGGGAGACCTTCTCGCTCTCTCCAACTCCCTGAAAGAAGAGGGTAGCCAGGGAAGGTTGGTCTCTTCTTCCAAGGAACAGGCAATGGGACAAGAGGAAACGTACTCAAGTTGTGCCAGAGGAGGTTTAGGGTTGATATTGGGAAGAATTCCTTCATGGAAAGGGTTGTGAAGCCTTGGCAGAGGCTGCCCAGAGCAGTGGTGGAGTCCCCATCCCTGGAAGTATTTAAAAACCAGGCAGATGTGTTGCTGAGGGACAAGGGTTAGTGGTGGACTTGGCAGTGTTGAACTTCATGATCTTAAAGCTCTCTTCCAACCAAAAGGATTCTATGACTCTGTAATTCTATGAAATGCACATCACAAGGATTAACTTCAGAATGAACCTGGAAATTGGGTGAACTTGTATATACAAGACCGTCACGGGTGGAGTTTTCAACTTGGCTTCATCTAATTCCTCAGGGCTTTCTCAATTTTCCTTCTTTTGGTCTTCAGTTAATAATAATTTTGCTTGTCTTGGGCATCAACAAGGTCATCTTAACCTCTTGTGGCTCCTGAGTCACTCTCTTTGGAGCTCTAGATATCTGCTTTTCAGGCTCTCTGCCTGGTTGGATAGACTCTGTTCCCTCTCCATATCTGCCTTGGCTTGCACGCCGTTCCTGCAGGATACGTGCCTAGATGGCTGTTGTTTTTAAACATTAAAACCAGCAAATCCATCATCTCCGTTATGATGATAAGTCACTGTATCCTGGTAGTGAACTTACAGTGTTGTTGGCTGTTGTTTTTAAACATTAAAACCAGCAAATCCATCATCTCCGTTATGATGATAAGTCACTGTATCCTGGTAGTGAACTTACAGCGTTGGTTTTTTTTTTTTTGGAGAAACAAAGCGTAATATGCATAAACTTGTGGAAGAGAATTGACTTGCTACAGTGAGATATGGTGACATTTAAAAAGAGACTGGAACAACATGTCACCCATTACATTGGTTTTTGAAACGGGCACAGCAGAAAATTATTGTCATTGACCTGAATGATTTCTAATAGGATTCTGCTGTTTTTGCCTCTGGGCCTTGTGTTTAATACTTGTGTGTTAAAATAGTAATTTCTAAGGGTTGGCAGGAGCTATCAATACTGGAGATGAGCAAATAAGGGATAAATCTATATTCCATAGTAAGTTGTATACCAGCAAGCTGTGTACTTTCTTATGGGAAAAATGTAAAGCTGTTTTTCTAGGAATGGTGCAGGGCTCTATTCTGAGAAGCAGCGAAATATCTAGAAAATATTTAGGAGTTAAGTCGCATTATCATGAGCTTTCTGTATGATTCAGCAGCCAAATTACCCTTGACTGTATAAATAGTGGAAAATTGGATAGGAATAGGCAAATCATATGCCATCTGGATGTATTACTGGTGTGTCTGCAAAGTTCTGTGGCTGTTTTTGGTATCAAAGGCAACAAGAAGAATGCTTAAAAAGTGGAGATAGTGCTAAGAAAAGGTATGAAAATGAGGTAAGCACTGTAAATAGACGCACTTAATGAAAAATATACAAAACTCCTTGAATGTAGTCTGATACCTGCCAGAAGGGCAATGTGATGGAACATAGCTAATTTAGGAGACTTCTGGAGTGCATTAGGACGATATTTTGAAATAGTTGGGTCATCTGTTGGCTCCGAGAGGTGCTTTCCTGGGTCTACTACTCGCAAAGAGCTGTTGAAGGAAGGATGTGGTCTTGGCTCCAATGACTCTTGAGATTTTAGAACTTAAGATTCCAAAGGATGCGAGTAACAGAATAAAGATGTCAGAATTCAGGACAACAGATTTGAACCTTTCTGGGGAATCAAAAGGCAGGATCCCATGGGAGGATGCCCTGGAGGGTGAATAAGCCTAGGTGGGTTTAGCTGGACAACCTCCTCAAATCACAAAGACATTGCAGGAAACCATGCAGACACCAGCTTTGCTTAATGGGGAGGTCCTGATGGAGCTCAAACATGACAAAAGGAGTGTGTGCAGAAGGTGAAAGGAAGCAGGGGAAGCCCAGGAGGGATACAGGCAGGCAGAGGGGACATTAGAAAATGTTCATTGGAGTTTGAAACTCAAAGGGTTGTCGGACAAGAAGGTTTTCCATAGGTACATTGTTGGCAAAAGACCAAAGAAAATATGGATCTGCTGGATGAAACGGGCAGCTCTGTGATGAAGGACACAAGGAAAAGTCTGAGGCAAGCATTGTTTCTTTGCCCTGGTCTTTATTTGCAAGATCTGCCCTTGCTGGGTGGTGAGAGGTAGTACCCATGGCAGAGGATTGCATTGGGCACCACCGGCAAATTGGGCACGTGGAGCTCTGTGGAAAGGGATGGGTGAGGCACCTCCATCTCACCTTGGAGAGATCATGACAACTGAAAGGTGGCTGGAAATGTTGTGTCTGTCTTCAAGAGGGTGAGAAGGAGAGGAGAGATGGGGAGGGACTCTTGATCAGGAAGGGGAGCCATGGGACAAGAGTTAATTGTTTTAAACTGAAAGAGGGGAGATCTAGATGACAAACCCACCACTGACCCATGTCCCTCAGCACCACGTCTGCCCGGCTTTTAAATCCCTCCAGGGATGGGGGCTCCACCATTGCCCTGGGCAGCTTCTTCCAAGGCTTCACAACCCTTTCAGGGAAGAAATTTTTCCTAATCTCCATCCTAAACCTCCCCTCGTGCAACTTGAGGCCGTTTCCTCTTGATGGAGGAAAAACAATTGTTGAAAAGGTCTGTCTCGTACCGAGGTGGTGGTTTGAAGAGGCTCATGACTTTTCTTGGAGATGCTGTCTTTGCTGCTTTATCTGGTTTGGGTTAGTTTTTGTTTTGGCTGTCTTTGCTGCTTTATCTGGTTTGGGTTCGTTTTTGGTTTGCTTTTCTAGTTAGCATTAAGACACACTTTTCTTTACGGCGTAGAGTTGGGCCAGACAATTTTCCCAGCTGATACAGAAATCCTGTTGGTGCCCTTAGTTGTTATAGTTTAGGGTCTCAGTGTTCATTATATTTAGCATTTTATATTGTAGCCACAAATTTGCCAAGGGGGGGGAGATATAATCATTTTTACCTCCTCTCAGTATTTCTAGCCTGATTGCAGGTGCTTAACATGAGTGCGTCCCCTCTGGCCCCATGGGTGAGTTTTCTGGTGACTTTCCCTCCCTCCCCTGCCCTCAGCTAAAATTTCTCTCTTTAATTGTTGCAAATCACATCTTTAAAAGCAAGCCTTTTTCAGCCTGATGTTAATGAATCACACTTTGGCAATGTTTTCCCTGACGTGAGAAACAATTGTTCCGTTAATCTGTCAGATTAGTGAGCCACAAACTCTGAAATGTTTTATGTGGGTTTTTTGTTGTTTGGGTTTTGGTGTTTGTTTGGTTTTTTTTTTTTTAAGATGCTTATTTTGACAGCCATTCCAGTCTATCCCCCAAATATCTTGGTCTTTATAGATCTCAGGTTTTAACAGTTTGAAGGGAATTAAATTTTTGCTTGTGAGTCTGAGCCCACTTGTGTTTTTTGGGGGGAGAAATTTGAATGTGGTGGAGTTTTGGGGTTTTTTGGGTCAAATTGACCTCGGTCATGGTCTAAGGTAGGCTCTGGAGCTTTATTTTGATTCAGAAGTTTCCAGCTATCCAGAGCCGGAAATTAGATGATGAATCTTTATAGAACACCTAATAAAAGAGCTGAAGTTAGTCATCCTTATGATTTCGGTGTGCAATATTCTTCCAGGTATCAGCATAACATCTCTCTCTTACTCAAGGTGTCCTCTTTTCAGCAACATTTAATATTAATACTGAGATCTTCATCATCTGGGACCATTAAAGAGACCGATACTCCTCTCAAACTGTGGCTGTTAATCCTGCCCACGTCCCAGTTTGGGAATTATCCAGATTATCTCTGCACTTTCAAATGGTTTCAAAAGAAGAAGTTTCCTTTTTCCTGCTGTAAATCTTTTCTCCTGCAGTCCTCGGTTATACAACCTCCCTCATCTGCAGGAAAGATGGTCAAGTAAAATAATTTCTGAATGGAAAGGAATATTATCCTTGCTGGTGGTGGTGGAGATTATGTTGATTGACGGTTTCTTTTTGTGAACTTTGGTTCAAGGCGGCTTTAGATTCCTTTTTTTTCCTCTTGTTTTACTCCTTTGTAGGTCAGTAACTTACCATTTGTCATCAGTAGAGGATTTTTCTACGAGCTGGAATAATTAGTCTCTGTTAGACATCCAGTGATGAATGAGAGAGGAGGGGGAAAAAAGTTAACAATGAATTTTGTTTCAGCATGAGATTTCAATGAAGTTGAAAGCCTGCCACTTGCTCACAAAGGGACGTGATTTATGGAATTTTTCATAGACAGTCTTGTACGTTTTCTTGTGAGAACGCGGCTGGATCTTCTCCCAGTCCCTGCAATTTCTCTGTACCAACTCTAAAAATTCAGTGAAATTCAGTGAATCCAATGAAAACGTACCAACTGCACCAAACTCTCCCTTTGGTTTGTCCCCAAAACCAAACACATCTCTCGTTGCCTGCTCTGGCTTTCCCCTTTGCCCAGGCTTTGTTCCCAGATGCTGAGAACTGAAGGCTCAGTCTGTTCTGGGAGCATCCTCCTAACAAGTAGCATTTAAAAAAGCCCTGCGAGGCTGCCATGGTCCAGTTCTCTTTTACACAAAGCAAAGTGTGTGTATTTGTGTACCTTTTCATCTCTGCATTGCAATAAGGTTGAGGGTTCCCTTGCTGCTGGGTTTTTTGAGGTTTTTAACCTGGATTTTTTTTGAGGTTTTTAACCTGGATTTTAATTCTGGTAGTGACGTGGAAACTCTCATCTGGAAGATGTTGGAAACTCTTCTGTGGTCACTTGTGACAACTTCATAATTCTAATAGAGGATGGATTTATTTATTTTTGCAGGTATTCGGAACGAAGCCTGACAAAATGCGTTGGGATAACGATAGAGACCAGACCAGATTACTGCCTGAAGAGGCATCTAAGTGACATGTTGTCCTACGGCTGTACAAGGCTGGAGATCGGGGTGCAGAGCGTCTATGAGGATGTGGCCAGGGACACCAACAGGTGAGAATCACAGAATCACAGAATCTTCTAGGTTGGAAGGGACCTTAAAGATCATCTTGTCCAACCGTCAACCCAACTGACAAAAATAGACACCCACACAACAAACAAGGAGCATCATCACTAAACCAGACCTCCCAGCACTACATCAACCCGTCTTTTGAACACCTCCAGGGATGGGGCCTCAACCCCCTCCCTGGGCAGCCCATTCCAATGCCTGAGAACCCTTTCAGTGAAAAAATTTTTCCTAATATCCAGCCTGAACCTCCCCTGGCGCAACTTGAGGCCATTTCCTCTTGTCCTGTCGCCTGTGACTTGAGAAAAGAGACCGACCCCCACCTCTCTACACCCTCCTTTCAGGGAGTTGTAGAGAGCAATAAGGTCTCCCCTCAGCCTCCTCTTCTCCAGGCTGAACACCCCCAGCTCCCTCAGCCTCTCCTCATAAGACTTATTCTCCAGACCCCTCACCAGCTTTGTCGCCCTTCTCTGGACCCGCTCCAGCACCTCAATGTCTTTTTTATGGTAGGGGGCCCAAAACTGGACACAAGAAAGCAAGCTTCATGGTGAAGCTGACCGTGGCTTTCTGGAATACTCTTGAGCAGAGTCTCTTGACCTGTTCACTTGAACACCCATTTATCATTGAACGTTGAGACATTTAGCTCATTTCCTTGCCTGTGTGGCCGTATCGCTGTTAAGAAAAAATAATAAACTGTGGTGGCTTCATAGATTTCTTTGTGATATTGTGTAGACGATGACTTGAGAAAATGGGGTTATTTGTGATGTTTTAATTTAAAATGATATTCTTTTCCTGTATTGCACTTATCTCTTCTTTTTTTTTATTGCTTTGTAAATAAACTCCGTTTTGTGAAGTAGAACATGTGCCCAGAGAGACCTCAAAGTTCTTGTCCTACCTTGAGTAGGTATATACTCATAATAATCTTTTGGAGGCACGTCACCAGCAAACGACGTGTTCTGTACCCCAGACACCTTTTTCTGCTGAGTATCGGAGATGTGACATTGGCAAGTACAGAGGGTGAGATGTAGCCAGAAACAACGCCTGTTGATGGATTAACCCCAGTCATTCTGGGCATACGGTGTCTCTAGGGGTTGCAAAATATATTCCTGAGAGACCTGTGATTTATTCCTTCTGATATTGGACCTGTGGCTGAAAGAACAGTCGTCCTACGTAGGAGAGTGCACGGTACCTTGGCTGACTTGCCCGTAAGGAATGAAATAAACAGTCTCTCTCTCTTCCTTTTTTTTTATTATTTTATTTTATTGCAAGTCTTATAATTCTGTTCAGGTTTTGAAAGAAGTGATTTATTTTTTTCTTGTTTTTTTTTCCACTTCTGACACTTGTACAACTTGCCTTCGTCCTTATTGCATATTCCAGTCACCTCCCAAAGATGTTTAATAACCATAATCACACGTAATGACAGAGAGATTATGGTTCAATAAGCAAAGCACATTTTTGTTAATACCTACCTTAAAGGCAGTAGTGCAAAACTGAAAATGTTGGACATTTTCTTTTCGAAGCTTAAAGAATCCCAAATGAGTTTCCTGCTGCGGGTTTAGCTGCCGTGTTGCTGGTGCAGGGAAGTACAGGATGGTGCTGCCATGAAATGGTCAGGCTCCAGGTCTCAGGAGGTAGGAAGAGCCATTTATTGAGTAGTCCACAAGTGAAGAGCTAAGATTTATAGGTGGTACTTTCCTCCTCTAGATGTCAGAGCTTTCCAAAAGAAAAGATCCATTCTAAGGATTGTAGCTAAATCTCTTAAACCAGATGTGTTCATTGACGATTAATTCTGACACAGATTGTAAATTTAACAATTAATTTCTCTCCAGCTTTTAAAATCCTTTTTTTTCACCTCAGGTCTTTTAAAGGTGTCCCATCCTGAGGTGGAACTGTAAAATCCCATGTAGCTATTGCTTCAGTCATCTTCAGTTTTCCCCCAGTGTTGTCTGTCACATCAGAACCAGCACCATAAATCCTTCAAAGCCGTGTGTCACTTCTGCCTTGGCCGTTTCCTGATGAACCCTTGCCTTCCTGCCGATGAATCAGAAGAAGAATGGAGTGGTAGATTACTGACGTGATTTCACTAAGAAGCTAATTCTGTAGAGAATTAGATTTGTAAAGGGTTTTGGCACTTCTCAAAGGCACTTGCAGAATTCCTAAAAGGCTTTGCTCCGGGCTGTCCCAGAGCAGGCTGTTCCCTCAAATGTCTCCCTCCAAGTTTTTAGAACAATGGATTGGAATACACTTTCAGAGAAGGATAATTCAAGTTTCTCTTTTGAAACGACCTCATTTTGCTTCTGTTCTTCTCGTATTTTGTGGGGGATGTTTTGGCTTTAAACTTTTAATATTTTGCTTGTAGCAAAATGTCAGATTACAACCAATTAGCCTAACTGTTTGGAAATTACTTTCTATTATGTTCCATAAGTCATTAGTGAGGTTTTTGAGTGCTTTTGGTGGCTGTGAGGCAGAAAAATATTCAAGAGCAGATCTAGGCATCAAATAATCAAGTTATTGATGCAGCTCAAATTCCACTTCTAATAAGAAAATAATTTTTATTTATGAAGCAAGTCTCCATTTACTCCCCTCGGGCTACTCAAGGTCTTGAGTAATACTGTCCTTGAACAGTCTTAGAAAAACACCGTAGTACTTCTGAAAAAACCCATAAATAAAACTGTAGTCATAAAACTACATGTAGGGATTTAACAGAGGCAGAATATTCCAGTAGAGGAAGGAAGAGGTCCTTAAAACATGGGAAGTAGCTGCTTGGTTTGGTTAATGTGAGGTCTTGACAGAAGGTGTGCATTTGTAAAGATGCCCAGATGGTGTTCATTTTTCATCCAAAGGATTGTCGAGGAGACGAAGAGTCACCTTGCCATTCCCTGGCAAGCAATTCCCAAAAGATGGGGTGAACTGGTGTGAAAGTGTGATGGGAAGGAAACAGGGATTCAAGAGGGAATCCCCACAGCAGATGCTAAGAGGATGGAAGAAAACCAGTAGTGGAAGAGCCCTTCCAGCTGGGGAATAGCAAAAGCAAGGACTTTGTGGGAAGACTGGTCATGTGTGATGGGGACCTCCTGGTAGCTGTTTGCAGTGACAGCGATGGCTGTTGTGGAAGCAGAAGGCAGCTCCTGAACCTTGGAGATGGAAGGAGAGAGGAGTTTGCTTGAGGACAATGAGTTGTGTGAGATTCAACCTTTGTTCCTGCAATCATTCGTGCTCCCACTCTCACCGAGCTCCTGCAGAGCAAGATTTGGTTAGTTTGGTTGGATGTCAGTGGAGAAGAACATGAAATCCTTTGAGAGTCCTAGTCCAGCCTCTGTTTCGGAGGTTTGGCATCTCTGAGAAGTCAAGAAGAGTTTGTGTTTCTCTAAAGGGAGTACTTGTCTGGCAAGCATGTTGCAGGAGGGCTTCCTAGGAAGGTGGTCTTAGGTAGCCCTGATCCTTCTTCTCCTTTTGCTCTTTTGTTGCATTTTTTTCTAATTATGCTTCATTTTGATCACACGCAGCTTTCATTGCAGTGTGTCCTGGGCTTGTGCTGTGGCATCAACTTGTGGCGTTGCTTTACAAATTGAACTTCAGCATCCAAAGTTCCAAACTTTGAACTTCAAATTGAACTTCAGCTTTCAAAGTTCAACTTCCAAAGTTTCTCAGGCTGTGATTGAATAGCTGTACCCTTGGTGGGGTTCACCTCCTATAGAAGTAGCAGACTGGCCTACTTTTAGTCCCAAGTGCAGTTTACTTTATTAGCAGCCGTGTCCCAAGACTTGAGTGGTGGTAAACTGGTAATAATACTCAACCCTTCTCGTTTCCTAGAGGATAATCTCAATTAAACATATAAAAATCTGTCGTCTTCTCCCTTCCCAGAGGTCACACGGTGAAGGCTGTCTGCGAGTCCTTTCACTTAGCCAAGGATGCTGGCTTTAAAGTGGTGGCCCACATGATGCCTGATCTCCCAAACATGGGCCTCGAGAGGGACATGGACCAGTTTGTGGTGAGTATGGCTTAAAAAAAACTGGGAGTTTCTAGTGTGTTCCAGCTTTTTCAGCTAATGCTGCTTCTCTTTCTCAGCTCAGCTATTAGTTATGATCCAGGCCAGAATTGTTTCTTAAGGACAAACAATTTAAAATTCATTTTTGAAGGTGGAGGGTGAGAAAGATTTGTTGAACTACTTCATCCAGAAAATTATATCCTTGCCTCATGAAAGACTGAGTCACTCGGGTCTCTGTGGAATATAGCTCTTCCCATATTAACTAGGGCTCTTACTTTTTTTCCAAGGTGGTTTTCTTTCCTTGGATTTAGAATAGTACATGATTCAAAGTTAAAAGCTTGCTATCTTGAAGGTAATTAATTGCAAAGTGGAGTGTATAGGTGTATTATATAGCATCTCTGTTCTTGGCTCGGTGCTATTCAATATCTTTATCAATGATGTGGAAGAAAATATAAAATTATTTCTACACAAATTGAAATGAGAAAAGAGCAAATGGTAAAGCGTGCAGGGAATTAACCGCTATCTGATAGCGTGGTAGGTATTCTTTCATTATTTAATATTTTTTTAAGTCAAAATTGGTTGTCTTTTTAAAGCAGTGCAGAAATTGCAGTCGTGATAGAGGAATCACAGGTATATTTCTGTGCAAGGTCAGAGTAGGTGCTTTCTGGCACTAAAAAGCTGTCCATGCGATGGAATATATTGATTAGAAGTGCAGGGAGGAGCGATGGTTTATCTCGATGTGCTGCAAACAGGCATGGCCAGAAAGAAGCAATCGAAACCGTGGCTGTACGGTACACGAAGGAAATTCTGAAAACTGTGGTAGGTAATTTTGCTAAGGGGTTTTTGTGCAGAATTCCTTGAGCTCTTTGTAAACCCTTCATAGTTCTCAGCAGGTGTGATGTTGGTGTGACAAAATTCTGGGTGCAAAGCGATGTGCACAAAACTAGAGGTGAAGTCGGCCCCCAGATGGGGTCTCCCCCTCTGCTCTGCCCTGGGGAGGTCCCATCTGGAGCACTGGGTCCAGTTCTGGGCTCCCCAGTTCAAGAAGGACAGGGAACTGCTGGAGAGGGGACAGCAGAGGGCTACAAAGATGATGAGGGGCCTGGAGAATCTCTCTTATGAGGAAAGGCTGAGGGACTTGGGTCTTTTTAGTCTGGAGAAGAGAAGGCTGAGGGGGGGTTTGATCAACACCTATAAATACTTCAAGGGTGGGTGTCAGGAGGATGGCACTGCTCTTTTTTCAGTGGTGCCCAGGGACAGGACAAGAGGTGACGGACATAACCTTGAACACAAGAAGTTCCATCTCAACATGAGGAGGAACTTCTTGACTTTGAAGGTGGCAGAGCCCTGGAAGAGGCTGCCCAGAGAGGTGGTGGAGTCTCCTTCTCTGGAGACATTCAAACCCTGCCTGGACACGTTCCTGTGGGACCTGCTCTGGGTGGCCCTGCTCTGGCAGGGGGTTGGACTGGGTGATCTCCAGAGGTCCCTTCCAACCCCATGTCATTCTGTGATTCTGCAACAGAGCTTAAAGTGAGCTCAAAATCCTTGCCCCGGATTCTGTTGCTCCTGGATTATTTCCTTATGGTGCTGAAGAAGACGGAGGGTGGGCATCACATGAGCTGTGTTTTCACAGAATTACTTGAGATGGCAAAACCCGAGTCCCTTTCTCAGTATCTCATGAAGTCGGAGCTGTAGTTGTGGGTTCTTTACGGGCCTGGAGTAGCGTTAGGCTGGGAGAATTTGTGGTGGAAGAATAGCAATACTGACTAAAAGATTTAAAGAGCTAACCCTGGGTAAGATCCAGCAGAGAAGAGACAGTAATCTCAGGTATTTGCAAGGTGTAAAGCTGAAGAGGGAGGAATTACTTAAGGCAGAATCACAAGCTTCTATAGAAAGCACTTAGTGATTATTATTCTTTGCTGCTTGTTCCTGATAAATGGCTGAGGCTTTTCTGCTGTTGGATCTGGAGTTGCTCCTGTTTCATTGCAGGAGATTTTAGGAGTCTATTTAAAAGGTATCACTTCAAGTGATGCTGAACAGCCTCCACTTTCTGCAGGCCAACAGGGTCCCTTGCTCGTTACGGGAAGGGTAATGCCATGTCCTATTTTGTCCATTTATTAATGACCATTTTTTGCAGAAATAGAAGAAGCAGAAGGCAAAGTTTTCAAAAAGAGGAGAGAAGGACGTGATGAAAAGGCTGGAATTGGAGGAGGGGGGATGAAAAGAAAGCTGGGAAAGTAATAGTTGAGTGTAGAAAAGCAAGAGAAGGAGAAAACAGAGCAGAGAAGGTCAACCTGTTGGATTGTTTCTGCTGGAGAAGTGTCTTGGCTTTAGGAGCTGGGAAAACCAATGGGAGCCAGGTCTGGAACACAGTGGGAAGGAATTCACAGTTATGATGGGGAAGGATGAGAGAAGTGAGAGTAGAGAATGAGGCCCCCAAAAATGAAGAAATTTTTCATTTTAGAAAAGGGAGGGGTAAGATAAGATCAGGATTTGGGGATGAGGGGCTGGAACTGGCAAAAAAGGCTGTTTGGAGGGTCAGGAAAGAGAAATGCTGAGCAGGAGAAAAAGAAGACTCGGTGATAGCTTAAGAGGGGGAACTCCAGATTACAGAGAGGGTGATGGGGTGAAGACAAGCTCAAGTGACAGCCCTGTTAATGAGTTGAGAAATTTGAAGCAGGACTCGCAGATGGAATTCAGATTTGATGCCAGTGAACGTACAGCTGAGGAGTTGGAGGATGAGTAATCAGTGTGGAGGATGAAGCCCTAAAGAAGTGATGTGAATGCTGCAGAGTGAGGAAGAAGAATGGGAGTTGGAGAGTCTGCTGCTGGGGAAGAGGTGATAGATCACGTCGACATGGGGAAGAATTCTACCTGTGGTGTTTTAAAGAGAAGGAAGTTGGGAAAGGGGGAGAAGGAGGAATCAAAAATGCCGGTGTTAGAGAGGTGCAGAGGGTTTTTCCACCAGGATCAGACAGCACGTGGAGAAAGAGCTGCAGAGCTGATGCCCAGCAAAGTGATCACTGTGCGTTTCGGGAAATGGAGCTGCAGGGAATGAGAGGGGAAGAGGTTGTGGATCACTGTGACACACTTCGAGATGGGATGGTAAATGGGAGACCACTATCCTCTTTCTTTCACCTTCTCTGCCTTTCTCATCCCGTCTTAAATGCTTTATAATTTATTTTTAAAAGAACCTTTAAATAGGAGAGAATCGAGGGTAAAAACAACCCTCTTTTTTTTTTCCCAGAGCCCTGCACTGGTGAACATAATAGAGATATCCAGCAGAGGATAAGTCCTTCTTTCCTTCTGATTCAGCTCCATAGTACATTTTTCTATTTCCTGCCTTAAATTTTTGTATCATGGGTTTGAGTTATTAAGCCAATTTATTTATACATTGTGCTGTATAAACGTTAGTCTGTGCTGGTAAATATTTAGACATTTCTACTACATGAAAATAATGTGAACGAGAGGAACCAAGTGGAGAGCATCTGGTGTGTTCTTGCAACAGCACTAAGCTGTTCATGAGCAGCAGTCGTACTATTTTGTACAGTATCCTCCTAGTTCACAAAAACATAATCATCTTCCTATAAGATGCCCCTTGACTTTTTGGGACAGATATACCTGTGGCTTATCAAGGATCCTTAGAGATTCTTGATTTTGTAGTAGTTCTAAATAAGTTTGGAAAAAAATAAGTTTTATATATATATATCTATATATCTATCTATATCTATCTATCTATATATATATATATTTACACACTAACCTCCTTTCTGGCCAGCCTGCTTTTCAGACCAGTGAAAGGTAGGACAAAAAGGAACCAAAATGACCTTAGAAGGAGGTCTGAGCACCTTGCCTTCATTACCGGTTGATATATTAAATAGAGGGGCTTCTCCTGGGAAGATAATAACTTGCTGATTGTGCTGACTGCAGACTAAAAATACTGGGTGCTTCTTCAAATTGAACAGGTAATTATGGTTTCAGGAGTAACGGTGCTTCTGTCCCTTATGACCTATTGATTTCAAAGTGTTTCCTCCCACTTCCATCCAGCAGTTCAGATGCCCAGCACTAACTCTTTTCCCAGCATATCTAGCTTGGAAAAGCTTGTGTGTCTGCATAGTTTTTTGGGAGGGTTTATTAATAGCTGTTCAAAAGTTTAATTTAGTGATAGTAGTGAGTATATTAGATGTTTTGCTATGGGATGAGGTTCAACAAGGCCAACTGCTGGGTCCTGCCCTTGGGTCACACCAACCCCACACAGCGCTCCAGGCTGGGGGCAGAGTGGCTGGAGCTGCCTGGTGGAAAAGGACCTGGGGGGGGTGTTGGTCAACCCTTGGCTGAACGTGAGCCAGCAGTGTGCCCAGGTGGCCAAGAAAGCCACCAGCATCCTGGTCTGTGTCAGGAACAGTGTGGTGAGTAGGACTCAGGAGGTGATGGTCCCCCTGGACTGGGCACTGGTGAGGCCCCACCTTGAGGGCTGGGTCCAGTTTTAGCCCCCTCACCACAAAAAAGACATTGAGGGGCTGGAGCGGGTCCAGAGAAGGGCAACGGAGCTGGTGAGGGGTCTGGAGCACAAGGAGAAGGGGCTGGAGAACTTGTGAGGAGAGGCTGAGGGAGCTGGGGGTGTTCAGCCTGGAGAAAAGGAGGCTGAGGGGAGACCTCATTACTCTCTACAACTCCCTGAAAGGAGGGTGTAGCTGGGGGGGTCGGTCTCTTCTCCCAAGGAACAGGTGATGGGACAAGAGGAAATGGCCTCAAGTTGCACCAGGGAAAGTTCAGATTGGAGATTAGGAATAATTTTTCCATGGCAAGGGTTATGAAGCCTTGGAATGGGCTGCCCAGGGAAGGGGTTGAGGCACCATCCCTGGAGGGATTTAAAAGCCAGGTTGACCTAGTGCTGAGTGACATGGGTTAGTGATGGGTTTTATCAAAGGTAGGTTGATGGTTGGACTCGATGATCTTAAAGGTCCCTTCCAACCCAGACAATTCTATGATTCTATGATTCT